GACACTGAGGGTTGTGATCCCGTTGCCGGTCCCAGTCCGGTACGGGTGCGACACTGAGGGTTGCGATCCGTTGCCGGACACGAAAAAAGACAAAAAAAAAAAAATAGAATCTCTCTTCCCAAAGGCGAGTCACAGATAGAGTCTGATCTTCCCCTGCTTCTCTGTCTTGAAGCTGGCATGAAGGAGTTCTTTGACCTACTTTGTCTGATCTAGGTCATAAGACCCCCATCTTGGAAAGGGTCCTGCTCTATACCTGGGGGAAAGGAATGCTGCACAGAGAGACCAAGAAGAATCTAGACAGACGGTGCTGGGTTTCCCCACGCAGGCTGTTCACATTAGATCATACTTTTCTTGTCCAGTCACATTTCTGCATGGCTGTGCCTGCTTCATAGAACCTGAGCATGAAAATGGACAGTTTCTCCGAAGGCTACCATGTCACATGAAACTGATAATAATAAAAATTATATGCCTTTTCTTCATATTAATCTCTGTTTATTGGTTGATTTTTCAGAGAACCTTCAGGGGGTTGAAGGAGAAGTTTTCCCTTGGCCCCTACAGTAGGAAAATACAGAGTCCAAATTAGGATGTGTGACCCCCTACCCCAACACTGGGCTACACACCTCCACTAAAGGTGTTAAAGTTGTGGCTGTTTCAAAGTACTACTTTAAGCTTTGCCTGTGACTTTTGAAACTATTTTCCAGTTAACTCAGGAAAACAACTATTGATCACTTTGGTAATTATATTTGTTTTGTAGTCTCCTTAAAGCCAAACATAGAAGCAGAGAACATCCTACTTGAATGTTTTTGAGCATATTCAGTGAATTCCAAGGAAATTTTTAATCAGTTTGCAACAAAGTAGGGCACTGCAGGTAATGAATAAATGCCGAACAGCTGGGTCACCTTTACATAGGAGTACCTATTCCTCCCTCATCTATGTGTCTGCACAAATAGGTATGCATATATGTGTGTGGAGATAATATCACATATAATCATTGCACTAAAGTCTAGAACTCTCAACTACAGACAAGGGCTGGGGATCTCAAGTAACGGAAGGAAGTGGTTTCCTTTTCTTGCTCTTCACAGTCCATTGTTTGTCACAGCACCAAATTATATAATGAAAATTGTAAATACATAAAATTGTGAGTCCCAACACCTTTCCCTATGCAATAGGTTAATACTCTTTTAATGCCATCTCTAACTCAAGACTAAGTTTTAACAACACTAAAACACAGTTAGTTGCCTTTCTGTCTTTTGCAGACTTTCCTCTAAAGTTGTAGGATCACATCCTATAAAGACTTGCATGAACATAAGCCACACAAAAAATGCTATACATGCTATCAAGTATTTGACCTAGGGACCTTGGGATTTCAAATAGACCGAAGAGAAGTAAAATGTCTCTGTTGTGTACCAATCAGCCTCCTTTCATATTAATGAGCAGACTTCTTTGTAACTACACTGAGCTTCTGGCCCTTCTCTGTACTTAATGATATGAAAAAGGCAGAACCCATGGCTACTGCCACAACTGAATCTCAGTCTGCATTGATTCTGATAGCAGGTCCAGTTTGGTTCTTAGATTTATTACTGTTTACTCTTTATACCCTTCAATTTCCTGTGACTTTTTCATTTTCCCTCTATCCTTTCCTCCTGTGTAGACAGTCCTCCAAGGAAAGGCACTGTTCTCTCAGAGGAAAGAGTGTCGTTGTGAGTGTCCCAGTACACAACCATGAAGTTTCAGCCTTCCTAGTTTTAGAGAAAAGTGCTACCTTCTGCTTAAGTTCAATCTTTCTTGCTTCATTTTAGGTTCCCTTTCCCAGCACTTCTAAATATGTTTCACTGTGAAGGGTAGGAGCGCACTCTCTGCATCTCTTCCTTTTGAGGCAGGACCAGCCCTAGCCACCTCGTTTTGCAGTTAATGAACCCATAAAGAACCGATGACAGCTTAACCAACTTACCAATCAGCATGCTACACCTGGAACTTTGCAGTTTACAAAAATCACAGTGCCTGAGCATTGGGAGGAATAAAAGTGCAGACGAGTTCTATACGACCTTCCACCCATGACAATATACCAGAAAGGACAAAGTTAAGGGAAAAGTGACCCTGCTGGGCATGAACAGAAACTCAGGAATGCATGACAGGAAGCTGATGTAGCCTTGCATCAGCCTGTTAGGGCTTAATTACCCTAGATTCTCCCCTACAGCCAAATATTTCTCCCCTTAGGATAGAGAAACACCCTTATCACAGAACAACATATAACCCACCCCCCACCCCCCAAGAATCTAGGGCATGCCTCATTCGTGCACTCTTCTGTGCATTCTTTCACTTTGCAATAAAGCTCTATTATTTGAATGTTTCTGTCAACCTAGGGCTGGATCTAGAGCTCACAAACCCCTCAAGCCTGTTATCCAGACTGGATCACAAACCCTTCACAGACATCTATGAGCTAGGTAACCGGGAAAAAGGCCCACAGAGCTGTAGGTTCGAGAGCATGGGCACGCGGGGCGGACACCAGAGGCAGTAAATGCCAGCCAGGTGGCAGCGCCATGCACACACACTAACTCCACCCACACACAACTTGCTTACAAAGAATGTGCTGCACCACCCCCAACTGGACCTAAGGCGAGGGGGCCTGATTAAATTATTCTATTTTCCCAACATTCCACCCCTTCAGGATCCCTTGCCATACAATCGTTGCATTCAGAATCTTCCACGATGTTCCATTAGCAAGGATAAATGACCCTTACATTTATATAACCTATTGTCCATTCAATATGCCTTAAAGCCTATAGTTCTGTCCTTTCAACTATTAGACGCATATGTCCGGTTAGTAGTCACCATTGGTGTGATCCTCATGCAAATCCTGCAGTCCTACTGATAGGCAGTTCAAAGCATATTCAGTAGATGATCACACCAATGTATGTATATACCCAGTCAACTCTGGTGCAGTGCCTGCAGCCAGAACACTATGGGTGAAAAGAAAGAAGAGTTATTGGTACCAATAGGGGAAGTTCTTGCCCCTCTGGTAAGATACACACCAGTTTGCCATCCTGAGAAAGGATGGTTGCAGGAATAGGTATCTCACCTGGCTTATGATACCATTCTTTATCTGCTACAGGTTCTACATGTAACAGTATAAGGGAACTCATAATTGGCCATAATGATATTATAAATGTGCCCTTTAGAACAGACTGCTTATCTGTTCCAGGCCATGTTACCTTTACTCAAGGAGGCCAGGTATTTGTCACCCAAGGTGAAACTTGCAAGCCTTCCTCTAATCCTTTTCCCCAAGGCCCTATTAAGCCTACCCAGCATGTATGGGGGGCTCTTATTCTGCAAGGCCATTCCCATTGTACTGTCTGTCCCTGTCACAAACAGGTTGGGACTGGTAAGAGAATATTTCCATTCTTGCCATATCCTGGCTTCAAAAGCTTATCTTTTGTAGTGACTTGCAGTCATATAGGTGCTGCAGCCCTATGCAACAGAGCTTCCACTGGAGAGGGTCTGCCCTTGAAGGGTCTCTCATTTAGAATCCTGACTGTCGGCCATAATTGTTGTGTCCACCCTTTCAGGGATGGGGGTTGGGCAGATAGCCTCAGTCCCTTTTTTAAAACACTGGGCTACATCAGTAGCTGGGGCTCTCTCCAGCCATCTTAGCCAAGGCATCGGCTTCATCATTTCCCGGACTGGCTAGGGGAAGTGTCCTGTGACATAGAAAAGAGTGACTTCTTTCTCATGTCCCAATTCCCATAACTCTTGACACATGGCTTGTCCCCACAGGGGTCGGTGGCCTGCCATCCACCACTGATACTTCCAAGTAGAGATCCAAAGGGTTAAAGCTTTGTACACAGCCCAACTGTCAGTACAGATGGTTAATGGCCCAGGCTCATTTTTTTATCACCATCCATACTGCTCTCAATTCAGCTCATAGACTGCTTTGCCCTATGCCGTTTTCATAACACATAGTATCTGTTAAAGGCTGGACAGCAACCGCTGTCCACGATGCTGAGGGTCCCATGCTGTTAGAGCCATCTGTATACCAAGCTTGTTCTGTGATAGGTCCCTGTCCCTCATGGAAAGGTGTAGCCTCCACCTCCATGGGTAGGGGGTTTGTCAAAGTTTCCTCCACAACCTCTACTGGACCTAGCACAGCTTACAACTCTTTGCACAGAGGATTCATTGACACAGTGCTTCTTTGTTCTATATTTGCTCCCCATTTAGACAGAGGAGTCTGAGCTACACCTCTTTTACGGTTTGTTGCCCACATGCGCAGCCAACCTAGTATGGGATATGTTGTCCTTACTATGACTTTGGCAGTTCCTGTGATAGCTTCAGTGGCCATCAAGGCAGAATATATGGCTGATAGCTATTTTTCTATTAGAGAATAGCACACTTCATCACCCTTCCAGAGCTGAGACCAGAATCCTACAGGTGTTCGGAATTGGTCTTGTCTCTGCCACAAACCCCATCCTAACCCCTCCTGGGTTATATGTACGTCTAACTCAAAAGGTTAAAGTCTGTACTTGCTGTATTGCCCTGTTTGTAGCCTGATAAGCTTGTTCTAGGTCCTCAGTCCAATCCCAGAGGGCTCCTTTCTTTGTCAGTGCATATAGTGGGTGTGCCATTTGGGCCCTATGGGGTACAAAAGCTCACCAATACCCCCAAAGTTCAAAATATGTCTGTAGCTGAGCTACAGTTGTGGGTTGAGGGTATGCCTGTATCTTATCTAAAATAGCTTCTGGGAGGACCCCTGTCTTACCTGACCAGACCACCCCTAGGAATTTGACTGATAGCCTAGGTCCTTGCATTTTGGCTGTGTTCACGGCCCACCCACATTGTTCCAAATGACTTAGCAGTGTTGGAGCTGCCTGGGTTAAATCTGCAAGAGAATCAGAGGCTAATAACACATCATCAACATAGTGAAACATTGTCACCATGCTGGGCCTAGACCACTTGGCTAGGTCCCCAGCCACCAAGCCATGACAGATGGTTGGGCTATGGAGATAACCTTGGGGGCAATACTTGAAAGGTCCACTGTCTTCCTTCGCACATGAAGGCAAACCGATCTTGGCTATCAGCCAAGATTGGAATAGAGAAAAAAGCATTTGCCAGGTCTGATACATAATGATAAGTTCCCAGCTGAATTGCCAGCTGATCCATCGAGTGCTGAACTGAAGGCACAGCTGCATGCAAAGGAGGCACTACTCTGTTCAGTTCTCGATAATCTACAGTCATTCTTCAAGTACCATCAGGCTTTTTCACTGGCCATACCAGAGCATTAAATGGGCTGTGAGCTGGACCAATAATGCCAACTTTCTCTAATCCCAATACAGTGGCACTTAACTCTGCATGTCCTCCCAGTAGGCGATACTGCTTTACATTAACTGCATGTTTTTGCTTGGATCACACCTGTGGGTCATGTTTAGCATATCCTCATAACACAGGCTTTACTGTCTGTATTTGCAGCCGAAACTCTCCAACTATT